TTGTTTTGTGTTCGATCTGTTTTACCTCCCTTATTATACGTATATAATCCTTTTTATGTATTTATTTAAACCATGATTAAATATTTCATCTGAAAATACATTAATATTGTTATAGGATCGAATTTTGGTTTAAGCCTGTAATCTTGAACCAGAACGAAATCGAGAATCTAAAATCCCATTATATCATTCTGAAACTTAAACTTATCAAAACACAAAATCAATCCTTGCACGAAGCTAGGATCGAACACACGAACTTGATCCTTGCAGACGAACTGCGAATTTTATTCAAGTAATAATGATTCAGTCTTCCAAACGTCAGTTTGAAGTTATTAATGTTGTTGAATACAACGATATGAGTAACAGATGTGCCACTAACGGTACACCTCCTCATTTTAAAAAGACTTTTCATTTTTGAGATAAACGGAATGTATTTTTTAGGGACATGTTCTCTGTAAAACATTTCGAACTTCAAACACGAAGTGTCGATCAACTTATTACGAGAATATGGACCAGGTATTTCTTTCTTTTCTACAATCAACATATTTTATCTCCCTTTCTCTTCAGGTCTTGAAAGTGCAACGACAAATGAACCAACAACATTTACGATTCCAACCAAAGGTGCTGGCCCGGGTAGTCTTGATTTGTCTGTCGAAGAACCAAGTGATATGAACAAGTGTTCATATTTCAATTGAAAAATGTTTTACCTCATTCTTTTTATTACAGAAGCCAAAACGATCTGTCCAGATAATCAAGACGGTACATGTGTTATGGAATATGTTCCTGTATGTATTTAAATAGTTTGCAACAAAAAAAAATTGTTTTTTTTTCTCTATAACGTGTGTCATCATTATTCCAGACGAAATCTGGCCAATACAATATTTTAATTACGAGACAGCGGACGCTTTCTGCAAGAAAACCGCCCTATATATCTTTGCGTAGATAACAATTGAAACTGTTCGTTATTTAATTTATAATTTTTCTACGTCTTAAAAGTTGGTTCTAGACTACCATATACTGAAGTTTTTATTCATTTCTGAGCAACGGTCCAGAAAGTCTGTTCCACTGTATTTATTCATTTTTCTCTGAACGGTCGACATTCTTAATACAATCTTATACACGAAAGCATGCGTAATTAAGCGGGGTTTAAAATGATATGTAGCACACTTTTCAAACTAATGTCTTCATAGATGTATTGGACATATACTTGACAGGTACTTCGATTTTACCCGTAGTCGCCGACAAAGCTGATTCTACTTTTGTCAGCACACTCAGATCCGGAATGCTTTATACATACAAAGATACAGAATTGAAAGGGCTATACAATGAGTTATAAATGAGTGTTTCAAAAATATGTCCACATGGGTCAATAGTCGAAATACTTGCTATTCGAAACAGTATTCAAATGATTTTAAAGTACTATGATAGGTGAAAATCATTATATTGACCAAGTATTTCTAGTATTGACCTATGTGGGCATATTTTTGAAAGGCCTGTTTATAACTCATTTTGACGCCCAAGAAATTCTCTATGTTTTAATATATAAAATATTCCAGGTCTGAGTAGATGAGTTCAAAAAATATTCCTTTAAAGCTCTAAGACGGGTGAAAATCATTATACAATCAACTTTTAAGGCGCAGAAAAATTACAAATTAAATAACGAACGGTTTCTGATCAGTTCGAGTTGTTATCTTCGCAAAGATATATAGGGCGGTTTTCTTGCAGAAACCGTCCGTTGTCCTTTTGTGATAACCCTTTTTTATATAGACAATCCAATTTTTATGTTTTTAATCTTTAATTTCATCCTTCTCACGAGGTCACTTCAGCCATCTGGCTTCTGCCGAACAATTTTAGCGGTCTTTTTGTCTTAAACAATACATTTTTTATCTATTTTTACTACGCTGACCGTGTAGTAACTTTTGGTGTGAGCTACTGTTTCTTCAGGATAAAATCCTGCAGGTCTTGTAGGATCAGCGTAGTAAGATATCTAGCGTGCTACAAGTGATAACAGGGAGGAAAAAATTCCGGAGGGTTAGCAGAATAAAATATCCTGGAAGATATATCCGACAACGCAGAGAAAAATTTTCGATTGAGCAGCATGTTGCCAAAACGTGCAGGATATAACTGACATCCACAGGATTTTTGCAAACTCCTGGATTGACACCCAGGAGTTCAAATTTTCTTTTTTCTGTGAATAGTTGAGACTTCATAAAAACTTGCGCTGGAGTATCCATTAAATTTGTCACTCCCATAGCTAGTAGGCATTTTCAAACGCTCAACGATCCAGTCAAACTTGAAATCTTAATTGTCGGACTATCTCTGCCATATGTTTTTAGTAATACTGAATGTCTAAAATATGCAAAAACTAAGTTTTAATCATTCTCGATCTCATTTTTGTATACAATGTAACATCGACAAAACAAAAAGATAAAATAGACATAGAACAAATATGAGAAATGTAAGAAAATGTATTTACAATTTCTTACATATTACAGTCTTTCTCAGGTGAGCAGATGAAAAAGAGAACGTAAGAAAAAGACGTGTCTGTTTGTGTCTCTTTCCGTTGTATATACACCTTGCACATATAGAGGAATAAAAGATAAAAACGTTTAAAAATAAAAGATAAACGTTTTTATTGTCTTTCGTTTCTAAAGAAGCATTGTCCATTTCTGTGCCCCATTGATCTCACGATAACAGTGACGTTATTTCGTCCACATTTCAAAGACATCAGTCAAAGTATTTGTTAAATTCAAGCAATCATGGGCTTAGACACGGACCGTATTGTTAGTACGGGCGATGCGTAAGTTGAATTAACCACTTGTGCAATACGTGACGAAATATTTTTGAAGTCGGTCATTTGCGAAAAGTGTCAAAATTCATTTTGTACTGAGTGTATTCAGCGATGGTTACAGACCCAGAATGGCAAGAACAAATGTCCAAATGGTTGTGATTACAAACAAGTACGGATTTATCCATCCACTCTTCAAATTCAAATTCAGAGAAGCGGATGGTCACGACGCAATACCATGTTTAGAACGTCGTTTTACTCTTCAGGAAGCAATCATTCAGCAGCAACTAGCAGCGGATCAAAAGTTAGACCGAGATGTTCGAACCCTAAGAGTTAAACGAGTTTGTGTGTTTTCAAGAACTATTTCGATTTTGCGTCTTATTCATTCACCCATTTTTTAGGTGGAGCAACGCAGATTGTCCAAGAAAAAGACCAGAAGCAACAAGCTGTGAATGAAATGCTGAGAATGGAAGTTGACACATTAAAGAGTAAACAGTCCGGTTTTGGCGTATGGAGCGCTATTCTGTTGTCTTTCCTGCTAACAGTTAGCTGTACATTTATTGTTACAAATCATGCGGCGACGATTGAACAATTTTTTAATAATAATAATTTTGTTGAAGCTGAAGAAAGATTCGATGGAGAAACGTCTGTATTGTATATGCTAAGCAGAAGCAAATAACAACGTTGATTAGTCTTTTTATATATTTAGATATATTTCTTGGCAGTTTTTTCTTATTATTAACTGTATTAGCCTATCAATTCTTTGTATCGTGGCGTTCAAAGGGCGGTTCAAGTAGACAAATAGCAAATACCGCACAAACAACAAATCAGACAAGAGGAAACTATGATTTAGATTGAATACCAAAACATCACTTAGTGAGAGGGACAACAAAGAGTTTATCAATAATGGTCTCGAGTGGACGAAGTAAACTGAGAACTATAAGAAATTTTTACAAACGCAAATTCATCGTTTTTGCGAGCAGAAGATTGCTAAATGTGTAGGGAATATCCGATGAATTATACTTTTCTAGAAAACTTATTGATGGCACATAATATCAGATACCAATTGGCACTGAATTTTCGAAAGAGCTCAACGAATATCTACATTTTTATTGTTTCGTTTATTAAAATACTCTCTACACTTGTTTTTTACTGTTAAAGTTGATTCTTGTTATTGTTGTTGTTGTGTTTTCTTTTTTTCTCGTTCTTAAATTAATTCTTTGTTGTTGGTGTTTTTACAGGAAGAACGATCCATATATTATAGCTCTCATAAAGTGCAGCTTCACGCAAAAATCCAAAATACACTAGTGGCATACTAGACGGAAAAGATAAATAAAAACACGAATCGATTTATTGTTATATATTTTTATCCGTTTGTTCCTTATTTTTTCTTGTTTTTTTTCTATTTCATTGTTATAAGATTAATATTGTTGTTGTTAAAAGAAAAGCAAAGTTTATTTTAAAAACAAAATTCTGCTAGTTACATTGAAGATTTGTGCAATATTTAGTACCTCGATCAGAGAATAGTGCACATCGACAACTCCTTTAGTTTCTACCCAAACATTTGTAAAACGAGTTTGATTCGGCACAAAATTCTTCATAGTTATTTAGAAAAAAATGAGTTCGTACAAGAGTTACTGACAATTATAAAAATTAAACCTCATATACTTCTGTTATAGTCACCTAACCATTTCAATTTCACAATTTTGTCGGCTTTAAAATCTAAATAACTGACAAATGTCACGACAAGCATTATAAGTCAATTCGCCATAAACCGCACTCTGCGTTGTTTCTTTTTCAATAAAGTACCTTCTTAAACATTGACACGTGCGAACATATTTTATCAAATTATTAATCAATTCATTCATGAATAACTTAGTTTTCAGGCCTACTGTTTTACAATGATACTGAACAATTTATCTATTTCTCTGTTTAATATTTCATCTTTTATCTTAGATTAAGACACCATAACTATTAAACATGTTGTC